ATGCATTGGAGTCACACGGGGACGTAGAATGCTCTGGAGACACAGGTTGACACAAGATGCTCAAGAGTCAGGGGGGGTCATGAGGTGACACGGGATGGTTAGGAAGCTCTGGAGTCGCAGGGTTACTGGGGGATCCACAGGAAGCTGAGGATGCTCTGGAGTTACAGGGATCATGGGGTGACACAGAATGTTCTGCAGTCGCAGGGGTCACCGAATGCTTTGGGGCCACAGGGTGACACAGAATGCTCAGAAGTCAGGAGAATGCACTGGAATCACAGGTTGACACAGGATGCTTAGGAGTCACAGGGGACACAGGAAGCTCTGGAGACACAGGGGTTACGGGAGGGCACTGTATGCTCTAGAGTCACATGGAGACGCAAGATGCTATGGAGTCGCAGGGGACACAGGAAACTCTAGAGACGCAGAGGTTAGGGGGGGGACGGGACAATATGCATTGAAGTCACACGAGGACAGAGAATGCTCTGGAGTCACAGGTTGACACAGGATGCTTAGGAGTCACAGGAAGCTCTGGAGTCACAGGGGTTACGGGAGGGCACTGTATGCTCTGGAGTCACATGGTGACATAGGATTCTATGGAGTCACAGGGGACACAGGAAGCTCTGGAGTCACAGGGGTTACGGGAGGGCACTGTATGCTCTGGAGTCACATGGTGACATAGGATTCTATGGAGTCACAGGGGACACAGGAAGCTCTAGAGACGCAGAGGTTACGGGGGGCGCGGAAAGGGGACACAATATGCATTGGAGTCACACGGGGACACATAATGCTCTGTTGGGATGGTTAGGAAGCTCTGGAGTCACAGGGGTCACTGGGGACACAAGGGGCACTGAAATCATAAAGAGATGCTGGGTACATAAGGGTCGCCGCTGAAGAAAAAGGGGTCACTGGAAGCACATTGGGTCACTGGAGTGCACAGGGGTCATAAAGACACTGGAGACTCAGGAGGGCACAGGGGGTCACCAAAGAAACGGCGACACAGGTGACACAGGCAGATGCAGGAGGCACAGGGGTGCTCAGCTCAGACATTGCTGAATGTTGCTTGAATGCCAGGCACTTTAAGCATGCATCAACCAGGAGAACTGTCTCATGATTGGTCACACCACCTGGGTGAGGGGAGACATGACGCTGGATCCCAGGAACTGCGAGTATGACATTTAGAACACACACTGTCCTTTTATGGAAAATACGAGAACTATTTCTAGCCCAGGTCTAACCCTTACAAAAGGTTCAATCTGTTTTGCTTCAGTCACAGAAATATCTTAGTATCAATAAGCTTTCCACAGACGAAAGAACAAATTATCAGGAGGACCATCGAGAGAAGTGAGGCTCCCTTTGGGGGGGGGGGGATATCTAAAAAGTATAAGGCTCTCTGTGTGTTGGGTCTAAAAAGCATAAGGCTTCCTATGGGTGGGATCTAGAAAGCATAAGGCTCCCTATGGTTGGGATCTAAAAAGCATACGGCTCCCTATGGGTGGGATCTAAATAGCATAAGGCTCCCTATGGGTGGGATCTAAAAAGCATAAGGCTCCCTATGGGTGGGATCTAAAAAGCATACGGCTCCCTGTGGGTGGGATCTAAAAAGCATAAGGCTCCCTGTGGGTGGGATCTAAAAAGCATAAGGCTCCCTGTGGGTGGGATCTAAAAAGCATACGGCTCCCTGTGGGTGGGATCTAAAAAGCATACGGCTCCCTGTGGGTGGGATCTAAAAAGCATAAGGCTCCCTGTGGGTGGGATCTGAAAAGTTTAGGGCTCCCTATGGGCGGGATCTAAAAAGCATAAGGCTCCCTGTGGGTGGGATCTAAAAAGTTTAGGGCTCCCTGTGGGTAGGATCTAAAAAAAAAGTATAAAGCTTCCTGTGGGTGATTTAAATGTGCCTTTGCTATCTAATTGGTCAAAATCACACTGTCTCCTTTCTGATTGGTCAGGAATTCTTCTATAAAATCAGCCTGCTGGAGCTTCAGAAGAGAAGCCTGGAAGTGACGGTGTGGGATTATGACTTGGGAAAATCCAATGACTTCATAGGTAGGAAATAACAGATCCTGTAATACCTCTGACACTACACTGACACATTGATTATCAGGAAGGAAGGTAAATACCTTTGTGAGAGGCCGTAGATGGAAGCCGCACGCTGGCTCCGGAGCAGCGACTTATGCTGAAGCTGAACAGGTTTGGCTAAGATGCGGCTTAGATTTCATTAAAGCCGATTTACATTCCAATATTTACAGATCACTATGCAATTAGTCTTGCCGAGATGGAAAAACAAGGTGGAATGGAGAAAATGCTGCTCCATGCTCCCTCCAGTGCTGCTCACATAACCAAAACTCTAGGCTTTTGATCAGCTGATGCCTGATAAGGGGAGCATGGGAGTGCAGACTGGTTCATCAGCCCCTTCAGAAGAGATCACATGACCAAAAGCTTGGGCTCCCGGTTACGTGAAAAGCACTGGAGGAAGCCTGGAGCAGCATTTTCTCCAGGCAAGGTTACTATTTCAGTCTCTCTATTGCTGCTTATTAATCCCTCCCACCAAGATTGAGAGCAAGGCTTCAAGCTTACATTTGAGTAGAGGTCAGCTTTACATAGGGCCAGTATATGATAGCATTTGCATGGTCACATGATCACACATGTCCCAGTTTTTATGCTCTTTGTGGAAAGGTTTCTGTATCCTTCTCTGCTAAGTCAATCCACCAATCCTCACTAGGCTGCTAACACTATTTCTCTCACAGGGGGCGTGACCCTTGGAGTAAACTCCAAAGGGGAGTGTCTAAAGCACTGGATGGAGTGTCTCTCTTCCACCAATCAGAGGGCGGAGCATTGGCACACGCTCACCAACGAGCTCCCGGGATCCAACTACACCGACTGAGGAATGCACATTCTCCTAGGCCGGAGTCAGCCGAAGAACAAGGGCCGAGGGCAGGCAACACTCACTTACTTGCGCACTCACATCACTCAACGCATTTCTGTCTATGAGGCGAAATTTTAATGGCGCGGGCTTCACACAAGATGGCCGACGCTGGGAGCCTCATGACTTTTTGAGGGATGAGCATCTTCATTGTCTGTGCTATCAGAAGATATCCATTTCTTCTCAAGCCCTTTTCTGTTTCGCTGTCTTTAGACGGGATACTCCCAGCCAGGAAGGGAATCTATCCGTAAGGTTGGGAATATCAGTCCAGTGCTATAAAAAAAATGTTTTTAGGTCAATACACTCTGTTAATTGTACACAACTTACCTTCTCTATAGCCAGCCCAACATACAGTACACATTGTCGATTCAATACAAGATGGTGGCCCTATGATCAACCCAAACCATCAACATCCATTGGAAACATGGCTGTTCTACGGTCAGGCCAGCCTATCAACATCCATTGCAAAACATGGCTGCTCAATGGTCAGCCCAACCCATCAACATCTATTGTGAAACATGGCTGCTCTATGGTCAGCCCAAACCACCAACATCCATTGCGAAACATGGCTGCTCTATGGTCAACCCATCAACATCCATTATGAATCATGGCTGCTCTATGGTCAACCTAACCCTTCAACATCCATTATGAATCATGGCTGCTCTATGGTCAGCCGAACCCATCAACATCCAGTATGAAACATGGCTGCTCTATGGTCAACCCATCAACATCCATTATGAAACATGGCCGCTCTATGGTCAACCCAACCCATCCACATCCATTATGAATCATGGCTTCTCAATGGTCAACCCAACCCATCAACATCCATTATGAAACAATGGCTGCTCTATGGTCAGCCTAACCCATCAACATCTATTGCGAAACATAACTCCTCTATAGACAGTGCAACTAGTCAACATGCATTTTCAGTATTGCCCAGCATAGCTCCTCCTTAACCCAGCACATCAACATATAGGGGTGTATTATAACGCAGTAAATCTGACATTTACCAAACATTCACTGCAAGTGAATACTTCAGGTGCATGCGTTTTAAAAGACAGTGATTTATTCATTATTGTGAATGATTATGTAAAGTCACATTCACTGCTTTATAACTATGCCCCATAAAGCCATTTTATACCAAATGGGGCTGCCGTATGGCCAACCCAACACCCACCACACATTGTCTATTCAACACGAGATGGTTGTTCTGTGGCCATCCCAACATATTAACACGTATTGTTAATCGAGCACAACATGGCTAATCTATGGCAAGTCCAACCGATCAATATCCATTGCAAACTGCTCTATGGCCAACACTAGTCAACATGCATTGTGGCTTCAAGCCATCAGCACACACTGCCAAACTAATGAACATAGCTGTTCAATGGCCAACCCAATGCATCCACATATATATAGTCTTTTACGGCCAATATTGCTGCTTTATGGCCAACACATGATTTCAGTGCAGTGCAACATGGCTCCCGTGTAAACAGACCAAAGCAACGGCCTATGCTACCAATTTAATGACATATAGCTCGTCCATGAATGGCCAAAACTGGCAAAAAACAACACATCCAAACTTTTTATAAATCCAGCACAACATGGCTTTGCTTCGGCCAGCCTAACACATGAACATATGTCTCCAATCTAGTACAACTCAACTGGCCAACACATCAACAAACCTGTCAGTGCCCAACAAGGCTGCCCAATGGGGAACACATCAACACACGTCAGTGCCCAGCAAGGCTGCCCAATGGGCAACACATCAACACACCTGTCAGTGCCCAACAAGGCTGCCCAATGGGCAACACATCAACACACCTGTCAGTGCCCAACAAGGCTGCCCAATGATCAACACACCTGTCAGTGCCCAACAAGGCTCCCCAATGGGCAACACATCAACACACCTGTCAGTGCCCAACAAGGCTGCCCAATGGGCAACAAATCAACACACCTATCAGTGCCCAACAAGGCTGCCCAATGGGCAACACATCTACACACATTGTCAATGCTTTGCCACATGGCTCTGCATTGGCCAACCCAACACATCAGCAAACCTGTCCAGTCCACTGGAATAAAATAAGTTTCCCTTGCTCCTATTTAACCATTTTATGAAGAAACTTTGGTTTTACTTATTCCTATATTTAGTTTATCATGAAAGTGACTAGCTTTAACCCCAGCGGAGATTAAACCACTTTCCACTTATAGATATATCCGGGAACTGCCATGTAGGGGGTACAAGTCTCCATTTTTATACAGAACAAAGCAAGGTGGCAATTAGCAGCGTCCTGTCACCAGAGTATCTAAATGTAAACCTAATATTATTCCACCTCAGATGAAGCAGAGCTAATGTTCTAATCTCTGAGGCCCCATCTTCTTCCTTGGCCCCGCTCTTATCCTTCTTGCTCTACAGCGTGCTCTTTGGAGTGGATTAGACCGGCATCGCCTTTTCTTTTCTAATTATCTGTGATTTGCATTTATAAATTGGATTTAACGAGGGCCCCTCACTGCAGCCAGCTCCCATGACAGCTCAGTACCGCTAATCTGTAAGTGATCTGTCAAGCTGTTTGAGGAGCTTTATCATATCGCATACACAGGGAGGCACCACACACACGACAATGCCCCCCTATGTGCTTTATATGCAATTACTGACCTGAAACAAAAGATGTTGGGGCCTATTTATCAAAATAATGATTTCCCTTTTGCTGCGATGCGCTCTTTTTTGTTGTTGAAATGTTGCCCTTTTTATTATATTCGTGAGTTCCAGGTCTGGAAGTGACAGAGTCCCAGAGAGCAGCTTGTTCTATCCAGTGGAACGCTGGGCAAATATTGCTGAAAAACGTTCTTAGTATTATTTTTATACGGGATTTATATGGTGCCAACAGTTTAGCAAGCACTTTATAACATATAGGAACACATTACAGTTATAATAAATTTAAAGACAAGAGGTTTAGGAGGGCCCTGCCCGTGGGAGCTAACAATCTAAAAGGGAGGGGCCGAGTCATAGGAAAGGTAGTAGTTGATGGAGAAAGTAAACTCTCAGTAGAGGCGGGATAGGCTTCCCTGAAGAGATGAGTTTTCACGGATCGCCTAAAAAGTAGGATATAGCTGGAGATATTGGGGTAGGGAGTTCTAGAGGATGTGAGAGGCTCTGGAGAAGTCCTGGGTGAGACCATGGCAGAAGTTGATGAAGGAGCTAAAGAGCAGGAGGTCTTGGGAGGAGCAGAGGATGGTTTGGGTGATATCATCAGACAAGGTTGGTGACGTAGCTCGGGGCAGAGTTGTAGATGGCTTTGTATGTTGTTCATATTTTAAATTTTATTTGATGGGTGATTGGAAGTGAGGGCATTGGCAGAGAGGGTGGGGGATAGAAGCCAGTG